CCAGACCACACCGGACCAAACCGTTGGTAAGACCGGATCGGACCAGATAGACTAAAATGCGGTCCGGTCCTTGGTTCTCATGAATTTTATAATTACTGAAGAAATGGTGGACCGGACTGAACCGGACCAAATGGACCAAATGCAAGAATGGTCCGGTCCTTGGTCCTAACATGCATGTCACCAATGGACCGCGGTTCTCATGAGTTTGGTACGGTCCGAGCCGAACCGTTGCACACCCCTATATTTATATATATGCCTAAAAACTTCCAATTTCAATACCAATAATGCTAAAGAGTTCTTAATTTGCTTCTTCTTCTGCACTTTGTCATTCATTCTGAAAAACTAAAACAATAGTGAGAGCGGTGAGGGAGGAGGAAGTACCGGATCCTCAAAACTTGAGCGGGAAGCAAGGAAATTGTGCTGCCAGCATCTAAGTCTTTCTCCTCCTCTACCAACTCATCTTCTCCTTTTCCTCCTTATACTATTCATTCTTCCTCTCTCAGTGTAAGTCAGTTCGGCAACCCTACTACTCTCTTCCCACTTCCCTCTTTCGGCTGCTGCATTCTCTAAGCATTCTCCTTTCCTAAGAATAATGCACAATAGGTTTTCTTATCAGTCAGTTCATGAATTGTGCATCTTGTCATCCAAACACATAATGAAGCATATATATGTGGACAGGGAATGCACGGTCTTCGACTTTTTTTAGTTTTGCAATTCAGTTGGGAAAGCTAGCTTTCTGGTCTTCCTTTTAAAAAATAGATTATGCCTACAGGAAAGTAACACCAGCACAACCATACCGAAAAGAAAACTCTAGCAAACTGAGTCCATTTCATAAAGTCCTTGAATTCAGAACTGCATATTTTATTTCACAACCTGCGAATGGAAGAAGATTCACAATTTTCGTATAAGAAATCAGCAACGGCATCATCACACACTTTGTTTCACAGGTTGCAAAGATAGGCCAAATGTAATAAAAAGGAATCTACAGGCACGCGAAATCAGAACGGTTTCAACATTGTAGATCTAGGAACTCATCATCCGACCACCTGATGTTCTTGGGGATCCACATGGCCTATCAACCAATTCAAAATCATTCCAAAGCTAGAAATAATGAAAACAAAGAAGACTGGACTCTAACCTTACTTGCATATATCATCACGACGGAAGGCTTCCCGTAACTAAATTGAAGCCTAAAAGCAGACTTCAATTTTCTCATCCGACCACCATAAAATCTCAACAGTATCCTCACAAGCACCAAGTCTTCGATACATCCTGTCCATCGCAAATAGACTTAGGTAACAGCTCTGAAAATATGTCCATCCATCTTTATGGCGTTGGTCATAGTTAATTACCACAAAACAACCTCATAGTTCCTTCCAACCCATCAATTATAGAACCTTCTAAATCGATGAGTGATTATGGACCAATCATGATATTTTAGAGCAAGCTTCTTCATATATATACGACTGTATCTATCCAAGTAATTTTGTATTTTGTGAATAAGTAGGTTTGGCTAGTATATTTTCAAATTCCAATCCATTCCAGTGGGACAAAAGTGAAATGACCTAGAACAAAAAATAAAGTTTATTCAGGAAGTGCTAAGCTAATGCAAAACCAAACCAAGTTTAACAACTAAAATTAAAATTAATGAAAAAAACATCGTCAAGATTGTATATGCTAATGGATCCAAGATGTAAGGCTAGAGAATCTACTATAGTTAGATCATAAAAAAAAAAGACATGTCAAGACCAATGGAGAATTTCAATCTGTAAACAGGAAATAATCCATCAGACGCACTCTAAGTTCAGTGTTCAAGTCTGACTTGGTTTAGATCCCAAAATGAAACTAAATAGGCTATGAAAGACACCATGTGCCTACCAAACACAATTGTACCATCCACATCTTACTTATAAAAACATCAGTAACCAAAGGACGGACCAAAAAGAAAAATCTAAAAGGAAAGACAAATGAAGTATACAACGAACCTGCAAAAGCATCAATTCTCTTGCTCCGACCTACCAATTCCTAGCACCAAATCACACGAACCCACCTATTCCTAGGAAGGACCCGCTCACTTCGCTTCGCATCAAATGCGGATTTGTTTATATGTTCCTATACAAACAAATTAAAAAGTGTGAAACCGCAACCAAAAACCATATTCCATCCAGGAAAAATGAAGATATCCCAACCCAAAACCCAACACTGACGACATAAATAAATAGCACAAATTAAAGGGCTGCTAAGTTCCCCAATCCAATAACAATGAGGAGAATGGGAAAGGCAGTATTGTCTCAATCATAGTAGTGCATTGAAATAATCCACACATGTATTCTTTTTAAGTTCCCAGGCTTTTGATTGCAAAAATGAAAGAATCCTAATGAATAACCACTAAATATTTTTTTTTTTTCCAAGAAATGTCAAGAGAAAACCTATACAATCTACCCCGACCCAATACATCAGAGAAGCCAACCCACAAAATCAAAGGCGCAAAACTCTAAAGGGGAGAGTAACAGTGCTTTCTGCGCCACTCTATGGGCAGCACTGTTAGCAGTCCGAGGAACTGCCCTAAACTCTAAAGAAATAGAGACGGAAGAAAGGAGAAGGGAGCAATCCCGAAGCACCGGACCTCCAATGGAGTCAGAGAGAGCACCTTGACGAAGCTGCCGAATCACCACCTCTGAATCTCCTTCTAAGATGACCCGAGGCAGCACTTTGGAGACTACAAGGGCGATGGCGTCCCTAGCTGCTAGGAGCTCCGCAAGATAGGGATCAGCAATACCGGGATGGAGAGACCTTAAAGCCAGAGCCACATGCCCATCTGAACTGCGCACCACAAGACCAGACGAGCACCCAGAAGGACGAACAGCAGCACCAAAGTTGATCTTCACAAAGCCAACAGGAGGAGGGGATCAAGACGAGAGGCGAGAACGGGAAGGCTGGGGCGGAGCAGGGACCAAAGGAAGGGAGGAAGACAGTTCGCGAACTTGGAAAAAAAACACTGACGAGCGAGAGACTGGGCATGAGGCTGGACATGCTCAAAGACCACCTTATTTCTAGACTTCCAGATCCTCCATAATACACAAACGTATAGGAGAATGTGGGTTTGGGGGTGCTCAGAAAGCATAACATGTCGCCACCAGAGACTGAAATTCACAGTCGGGGCCGAGGAGATGAAATCATTTAGACCCATGAGCGACCACAATCTTGTGGCCAAGGGACATTTGAAGAACAGATGTTCAAGACTTTCCGGTCTTCTCCAGCAAACCGGGCAGCGAACTAGACAGTTTACTCCTCTGGTACTTTGAAAATCATAAATTAATTAATTCTAAAAGTCAAAAATTAATTATGACCGTCAGAAGTTAATTCTTTCTATCCCTTAATTTGGTATATAAACCAACCATAAAGGTTGTAAAGCACCATAAAAGGACCGCTTTAAATGTTTATGGCATCAACATTTTAGAACTTACAAAACCAGTAGCTGAAAAGAGCATAGGTCAGAATCGGAACTTTAACTTGGGTTAAGGCGTCTATGAACATCGATTAAACCAATATCAGTCGGTTATGTATCTCAAAAGAATTAACCCCTTCCTACCAAGAAAAAAAAGAAAGAATTAACCCCAGCAGGAAACTTTCTACTAAGTCCTTTAGTCCAACATGGCACAAAAACAATTGAATTCGAATGAAATTGTGTCTAAAAATTAAATTTCAAGTTAATCATAATAATTGATTGGCATAATCAAATATGCTTCAGTGGAATCCTCATAATAATAGATACATTTGGAAAAATGATGTTGCAAGTGCAAAATCAGCGTTAGTGAGAGGTGCAACAAAAAATTGCAGCAAGCTTTCAATTACTTGTATCCTCCACTAAAATACACTGGAAACCTAAAAGGCAAAATTACCGTGCAAGAAAAATAATTCTAAGAAGGAAATTTTTGGAGGGAAACAGAAGTTGTGTTGAGAGAACCAAAGATATGTTTCAACTTCATCCCTCTTTATAATTCCAGTACTCCACCTCTAACCTTTACTGCTCCATGGTCCATGTGGTAAAGGGAATGGAAAATGACACCATTCTCATTAGCCCTTTCAGACAACTCCTTTAAAGTATAATTTATACACCCAGCAATAGAGAAACAAATAAATACTGCTTACACGGTGTACATTAGAAGCCAGGCCTCAGCACATCATAATTGATTAGACCTCCAAATGAAGAACATTAAGCAAAGGGACACGGAGGCTTGTGAATCGACCGCAACTTCACTCAGGTTCAAATTCCCGTGTAAGTGTATATGTCTAAATATTAATAGCATCACAGATTTTAAAGATCAAGTACGTAATGGGCATGATAACAAACTAAAAATGCTTTCAAGCATATGCCAAGAGTCCCTAGCATAGCTACTTTACTAAAAAGCATGGACACTTGCAATATTTAAGTAATCAAGTCACGCATCAAGTTTACAGTAGACCCATATACAACAATTCGAAGGAAACGAAAGCCATCAGTAGAGAAGTTGATGGAAAGGGAACCTTTTTGGGTAGAGCAAGCAGGGTAAGAGAGTCAATTTCTGATATTAGATCAGTTATAAACTCTTGGTTGTATTATCCATCTGACATCGGGTTCTCTGAGCTGATGTTGGCAATTACAAATTCTATGCAAGGTAATCTAGTGAAGTTATGATACAGAACTGGCCCAATGTACTCCTACTTCTCTAAACTAACAAAGCGAAACAAATTTTGTAGACTGTGAGCGGATCTGTAAGGAATGGAAGCAACTAAATGGCATATCAATGACAAGTAAGAACCAAAGCCTGCAAAGAAGAAAGAAGAAAAAGGAAGGGGAAGATAAAAAACAACGGAGAACTAAAGGTAAGCAGCGAATGCGTAGAGACCCGTACTGTAAACGACAATGATTTGCAAAGTCTAGTCAAGTAAGGGATTCTTCTCTTAATTCTCTTTCATGGGAACAATTGCACATCTTTTGAAGATTTGGCCTTATAACTGACTCTCTGGTCCTAATGAATGCTGAAAACAGAACTATTCCATCAATTTAATGTCCCACTATCATTAAAGAAGGGAGAAAAGAATAACGAACACGGTAGACCACAAAGAACCAAATGGGGCACAATGTTTTCAAAACAAACGAAGCACATGATCAACCATTAAATCGAGACAACTTACTCCAGAAGCAGTTGAACTTGTAAGCGCATCATAGTGTGAGGTGCCACCAATTATCTACAAAAATCATGTTTAAGCATTTAAATCTTGGCAATCAACATCCAGTGATGAAGCGCACCAGATTATAACCAAATATTTAACTGAAAATGCAGAAGCAAGCAAGACAGTCATTGGAAGATGGAAGTATCTAATGAAGCATAGTAGGAAGTACCTGAACAATGAAGGTATAGAGTAGTTGCAGGAAAGCTCTACATTTCATCTCCATCCCTCTGTACTGTTGCATGTTGCAAGTAACCATTGATATCAAGGAGCCACAAAATCTGAAACCACCATATTTATACATTTCAATCCCCATCTCAACAGCGGCTAATAACCAACCAAAATCTAAGTTAGAAAGACAATCTCAAAGCTGATAAATTCAAAGGAACTGAAGCACACTATTAAAGGGAAAGAAAGGCGGCAAACATGCCTTTACCAACAGACAACATAACTGGCCAGAATCAAACAGTAGAGTAAAAGTTAAATGATTTAATTGAACAAACAAAAAAGAAAGAGCGTCAAACCCTGTCAGAAACTTTGAAAGACACAAACCAAAGCGAAACCATACATACAGGTCCATAGATGTAAAATAAAGATCTTTAAACCCCTTAAGTAAAACTCGGCAACGAAACTCACCACAGGATCAGTTGAAACTTCTAGGAAAAGAGTTGATATCCTCACGGTTGGGCAAAGATCAATTAAAGGATAATAATGATAAGGGTTGGTAAAATCAAGACAAAGCTGCTAATTGAAGGAGATCACAAATGTCTTCCGTGAGTTCTGTAATCTAATTAGCATCTCAAGTATTCTCACATTAGATATTACTGTCCACAAATTAAGGCACCCACACGTGAATGGGAGCAGCACCCTGACTTTAGTCATTCCCATATCTTCAACAAATTGGTATTGCCACATATATAAATCCAAATATCTGAATGCAGACAATTTTGTGCCTTCTATGAAGCTGAACAAAGTACCAACTCACTATAGGCCTTTGCGTTAACTTGTATCAAAGAAATGGAAGAGTAACAGAGTGCTCACCAAGATTAACTCGATTCATCAGTCATGCCATTTCGACAGAAGCACTCTGTTTTTCTTCTATGTGAGCAGGCATTTCATTTTCACGATCCACATCTCCACTATTCTAACAAAGAGCACAATCTGCAACCAAAAAGCATGTTTGAGCTATCTAAACTCAATGTAAACATAGAATGTGCGCTTTCTACCTTAAACATGAAGATAATAGTTTAAAAGCGTGTTGCAATCACAGTGAAGTCCATTCACGGAGGCAAGAAAATTAGAAGTCAATTTAAACAATTTTCTTATGTGTTCAGGCTCAAATTTCATGGATAATAACATCAAAGAGCATCAATTGGATTGATCACAAATAAAGTAGTTAACATGCTTAAGGACTAACCAAATATTCGAGATTAACTCACAAACTTGCTACATACAAACTAACAAAGTAAAGAATCGTGTTTGCGATCAATGTAGGTTATATTTCAAGTGACGTAAGACTGGAAAATAGCAAGTTTGGATCATGGATTGCGTACCAACTATGAGGGTGTAAGAAACATGAGTTGCAGCTTCTTCCTACGAAGATACACAATGATACTCTATATCTTCACTCTTTCAGATTCATTTACCTCCGATTTTTGCTTCACCTCCATCTCTTCTTTTCGTCTTTCTTCCTGGATGGGCAAATCCACTTATGCCTGCTCCTTCGGTCCCTTTTCCACGACCACCTTCGCCCCCGCCACATGGCAACTCCATCTCTTCCCTCCTCCAGCCAGCATCACGACCACCACCGGGCGCAAACGACCACATATTTAATGGGGAAGAGGGATTGAGATCATTGGGTGCATTCAATTTTGGAAGATTCAGAAAGGAATGAGTGAGAAAGCTATGATCCGATGCGACGAATGTAAAAATAACAAATAGAGACAGAAGCACCTACTGTGATTGAAGAAGACTCTATCTTTTCACCCGCCTCCTCTTTTGCTGTTTTTTGTTGTTGTTGTATTTTTTGTTCTTGCTGCCGTTGTTCACGTTGAAGGGGTCGTCCCCAAATACAGCTCTTCCTCCATCAGAAGTCAACCGACAACTTAGCAAGCTAATTCTCGACGTGGTTTTAAGGTCGATGAATCCATTGGGAAAACAACGTTTTAGCAAAATTAAAAACCCTAAAAGTAATAAATAAAAAAACGAAAAAGAGCTCAAAACTCACCCTTCAACTTGTATCCCATGCGCAAGCTCAGCACCGGCGTGGATTTAAGTTCGATAAATCCATTGAGAAAACAAGGGTTCAGTAGAGCCAGCGACAACCCTCCATCCGCACCAGCCAGCATCGTCGATCCCGTCGACGCCAGGCAGCTCCAAGCCATCGCAGCGCCCCACTACCATATCCATCGCCGCCATCGTCGGTGTACTCTCACCGCCCGCTTATGCTAGATGCCGTCGACGCTGAACCCGTAAACCGGCTCTGTCACCTGCGATCGCGATCATCAATGCCGGGATGCCCCTACAAACTCGTTGTTCAACTGCATCCTCACTTCTTCTTCAAGAGAGAGGTGAGATGCTGATTCTTTTGTTCCTTTCTTCTTCATGTTGCAGGTAGGATTGAGTGGGTGAAAAGAGATAAGAGAGAGGTGAAAGAGAAGGAGAGAGAGAATGGTTCATGTGGCTGGAAATGGGAAGAAAGAAAAGCAACCCAAAAAATATCAAAATGATAAAGAGAGAAAGTAAGAGAAAGTTGTTGTTTATTTTTTCTTTCTTTTCTTCTTCTTCCTCTGCTTGAGAGATAAGAGAGAAAGTGTTGAAAGTGACAGGACCAACTCCAAAACGTCAAAGAAAAGTCAATTGAGAAATGATGAGAACAAGTAAAAAGCAAAAAAGTAACAGTGGCGGGATGTGACTCTAAGAAACAGTAAAGTTGTAACTTGTTCTTTTAAAGAGATAATAACTAGTATTAATTGATTAATGGGTTAACGTTTGGAGCTTAATTGGTTAACGTTTTGGAATGAGTGAATATGAGGGGAGAAGTATGGTTTTATTAACCCGAAAGGGATATTCTAGTTGTAGTGTGAGAAGATAAAGTTTATCATACCCTGGATTCAAACTTTTCGAAACAAAAATTATATAAAACTATACATTTTTACTTGGAAAGATTTCCTTAAAGGAATGCTCAACACAAGGGTCAACGAGATTGAGAGCATCCTCCAGGATGGTTTCCTCTTCTTCTCTTTGTGTTTTCTCCCATTTCTAGCATGGAGTAGATCTCATTTCATTTGGGCGTTGTGAAACTCTAACTCTACCATGTAGTTTCTTTTATGTGAATTGAATGATTGTCATTGGGTATTGTTTAATTCAAGGGCTAATACCACTACTACAACACCCGAACTATCCGAAAAATGTCACTTGTGTCCTATTGTATCAAATATTCCATCTGTGTCCTGAACTATTACTTTGTTAGTGTTGACCAGCGTTGACCGTTAAAATTTAACAGATTGTCTAGTCAGCGTAGATGTGGAAAATGACGTGGAATTTTTAATTCCATTTTATTGAAGAAAATAATTAAAATAAAAAAAAATGGGAAAAAATTGAGAAGATAAGAATCAAATTTTGTCTTTCCTCTCTATCCCTCTACGCCCGACAACTCTTCAGAGCGACCTCGACGCCCGACGATTCTTTTAGAGAAACCTCACCGCCAGTCAATTGTCGTCGGAACTCTCTGCTCCATGGCAGTTTGCATCACCGTAGCCTCTGCTTTCAGCTAGAAATCACTTCATTGGAAGATTCTTTGAAGGGATCGAGAGATTGAGCATCGTAGATCTAGATTCTGGAGCAGACCCGGCAACCCAATCCGCCACCACCATACTCATCCCACTCCGTCGCCACTCGAATCGGACCCGCCAACCCACTCCGCCACCACTCCAATCCGACTCGTAACTGCAACCTCCAGCAAAATCGACCCTCTGGAAACTCTCGGGCCTCCGAGCAGTCCGCTTCTCCAAAAATCGTCGCTGAAATCTCCTTCACGGCGGCGAGTTCCGTACTACCGACCCAGGCTGTGAGCTCATGCTCTCTACTTCGCTTATCAGTTCCGCTCTCTCCATACCTGCAATATCAGTTGGTGCATAATCGGGAGACAACAGTGGGGGTAAGGTCGAGTAGTTGGAAACAACTGGGAGATGGTAGTAGATGGGTTGAGAATCCCAATTTCTAGGGATTGGATTTGTGGGAATGGTGGATATTCAAAGGGGGAATCACAAGTCTCGGCTGGAGAATCTCATCGCAGGAGAGAAGAAGTCGGTGGATTTTTTCATGGCCGGAGATTGGGGAGGGTGGATTTTTCCATGGCTGGAGAATCTCATCGCAGGAGAGAGGAAGTCGGTGGATTTTTCAATTTTTTATTTTTAAAGTTTTATTTAATTTAAATTAAAAATTTGAAGTGTCAATGCCACGTAAGCAAAAGTCAATGTTAAGTTGACAGCCATTTGGTCAACTGTTATCTTTAACGGTCAACGAAATTGCCGGGATACAAATGACACAAAATATAATAGTTCATTACATGAATGGAATATTGGAAACAATAGGACACAAGTGACATTTTTCGAATAGTTTGGGTGTTGTAGTGGTATTAGCCCTTAATTCAATGATTGAGGTATTTTTCATGATTGATTGTGCATGCTTGTGCTTAGCAACCTAAGGGTTGTGCATGTTTTGTGCTTAGCATCCTTAAGTTTGTGCATTTTGGTGCTTAGCAACCTAAGAATTGGGCATAATTGTGCTTAGCACCCTTAGGTTTGTGCATGTTGGTGCTAGCAATCTAATTAGCCACCTTAACCTAGCTTAGAGAGAAAAATCCCCCTTCAAAGGGAGACTAAATCGAGTTGGTTTTCCTTCAGCTTTTAAGCCACCTGACTAGGTTAATTTAGGGCAACCCTCAATGTTGAATTAAGCAAATAGGTTAATTATGATTAAACCGTCTGACCTTTGAGTTGAATGAGGGAGTAAGTCAATTACCAATTGCCTAAACCAAGAGGGTCGAGTGACACGGCCTTTAATGTTCACCTCGGTTTAGCAATTGAGATTGTGGTCCCCGACCATGTATGCATGCATCCCTCTGCGGTTTGCAATTACCTTGCCCAAAACAATTGTTCCAATTCACATATCATGGTAGTAGTTAGGGGGAAGCGACACCCAGTGATCGATCCTTCCACAAAAGAGTTTTCGAACCCATTTACCTTTGCTTTATTTTGTTATAATTAGCAAACTTTCAAA